AAAAACAGTAACTTAACGGTAGAAAATAGTAACTTAACAATCACGTGTCACGTTAATAATGAGACACGTCAGCTATTTTTGTATAGAAGGACTAACTCGGGACAAATTGGTAAACAGTAATGACCAAATTGGGGATCCGTACAATAGTTCAGGGACCAAATTATGGATGTTTTTAGTTCAGGGACCAAATCGGAGGTCCGTACAATAGTTTAGGTACCAAATTGAAGATTTAACCTATACAAAATAAAAAGTCATATCATGATAGAGATATTGTAAGATGTAAGTCATATCATTAAGAGATAACTAATATAATTATGAGAGTAAATTTTAAATTTTAAATTATATGTATTTTTTATTTTTCCGTGGTTTAATTTCTTTTATGTGGTATCAAAACTGTTGAAAGCATGAGATGCTGATTTCTTTTATTGCGTCTGCAACCCCATTTTATTTTTTTATTTTTTTCACTTTCCATTAGTCAAATATTATATATAAAAATATATACTCCATGTTATTCTATTGCTTCAAAGTACAACATTACGTCGATACTTATTAGTCAAAAACATTTAATTTCTTTGGTTTCTGTTTAATTTGTAATTTGTTTATTTCTTTTTCAGTTGTTCTGCAACTCCATCTTATGTATTGATATCGAATTTACAAGGCGTACCTTTGCTTAATTAGATTTGAAAAGGAGAAATCAGTGAAAAAGCACAAAATATCGAAATATTGCTTCTGTAAGTTTCTCAAATGAAATTCTTGTAGAATCTTCTTCTACATTTCATTTTCACCCTATACATATCTGCTCTGTAACATTATTTTGCTTGTTTGTCTGTGTCTCAGAATTCAATTGTGTTTGCAATCTTTCCCTCTGTGTCCAATCATAATGGCTGAAATCGCCCTCACCATCCTTAGCCCTGTCATTGAGGAGTCAGTTTCCAAAACAGTTTCATTTCTTAAAAAACGAATTGCAATTGCAGTGGGTTTGGAAAAGGAGCTTGATAGGCTTCGCGATTCTCTTATTCTCATTCAATCTGTCATCCGACACGCAGAAGAAAGGCAAGAAAGTGACCCAGCTATAAGGCATTGGCTACAGAAGCTGAAAGACGTTGCTTATGAGGCAGTGGATGCATTGGGTGAGTTTGAGTACAAGGTTCTTAAGAACAAAGTTAAGAGCGGTAGGCACTGGAATCCTGAGTCCGTCTACTTTTCTCCCTTGTTTCGTAATCGTATGGCTGACAAAATCAACAGCATTACTAAGCAGTTGAATGACTTGAAAGACTGGGCCAGCATGATCAACTTAGTGGTCTCATTGAGAGGCCAAACTTCTCCGAGGCAACATCAAAAGACAAATTCTTTTCTTGATAATTCCACAGTATTTGAAAGGGAAGCTGATGTCTCAAGAATTCTTAGCTTGTTGCGTGACTCGAGAAGGAGTCAACATCCCATCTCTGGCATTTCTATTGTAGGTATGGCTGGGATTGGAAAGACGACAATAGCAAAATCAGTATACATGAAAGCGAAGGAAGAAAAGCTCTATGATCTAGCGGCCTGGGTGTGTGTATCCGAGGACTTCAATGATCAAATCATTTTGCAAGAGATGTTAGAGCATTTTGATTGTGGTGCTGCTCCAAGGAATAGTATTAATGCATTGCTTGAAGATCTTGCAAAAAAATTAGAGAATAAAACTTTTCTTCTCATTCTTGATGATGTATGGAATGAAGATCCTTACAAGGGGAAAAGCTTCAACTCTTGTTTGTCAAAAATTCTGAAAACTACTGGGAGCTCTATTGTCATAACAACTCGCAGTGGAAAGGTAGCATCCGCAATGGAGTCAGTTCCTATGCAACGCCATGGCATGGAGGGGTTACCAGATGACGTATGCTGGTTGATAATAAAAGAGAAATTTCTTACATCATCCACAGGAACTTCAATGACTCCTGATTTGGAAGCTATTGGACAGGATATTGCAAAAAAATGTGGAGGTTTGCCATTAGTTGCTAGCGTCATTGGAGGAACATTGAGCCGTCAAACTAGTGCAGATGAATGGAAGAATATCAGAGATGATAAAGCATGGAATTTGAAATCACGAGATGGAGATGAGATTTTATCTATTCTGAAAATAAGTTTCAATCATTTGACTTCTCCTTTGAAGAAATGCTTTTCTTACTGTTCAATTTTTGCAAAGGATTTTGTCATTGAAAAAGATGATTTAGTTCAACTCTGGATGGCTCAGGGGTTTCTTGACCAACCTAATGAAAGCTCTATGACAATGGAGGATGTTGGTAATGATTACTTTAGTGATTTGTTATCTAACTCCTTATTTCAAGATGTGAACAGGGACAAAGATGGGAATATCAGATCTTGCAAGATGCATGATACAGTGCATGATTTAGCGCTGTCTGTCTCAGAAGGTGACACTTTTGTCTGGGAGACTGGTTGCATAATTGACCAGGATGCTAAAATTCGACATTTAAGAGTTAAGCATGACAAGAACGAGCGTCCAATCATTCCCAGAGCTGTTGCCCAAAGATTGCATTCTTTGTTCTTGGAAGAGGTTGATGTTTTCATTTCCAGTGCATCTGATCTCAAAAGCTTGCGAGCTTTAAAGATGGTGGGAGCTCAGGGAGAACAGTTGCCCATTATTCTTGGCAAATTGAAGCATTTGAAATACCTTGACCTCTCAGGAGGCAAAATAAAAACACTACCAAAATCCTTTTTCAAACTCTACAAATTGCAGACTCTTAGACTTAGGTGGTGCTTTTCTCTGCAAATGTCTGATGAGATGAGAAATTTGATCAGCTTAAGACATTTTTATTTTGACAACACAGAGCTGATGCCAAGAGATATTGGGCATTTAACTTCCCTTCAAACCTTACCATTATTTGTTGTGAGTAGAGCAAACTTGGACCAACTTGGATGCCTAAGTCAACTTGGAGGAGCATTGAAAATATACATCCTTGAATTTCCCAGGGTTATGTCATCAGAAGCCGTCAAAGCAAACTTGGACAAGAAGACAAAATTGTATGAGTTGGAAGTTGAATGGAGTGGATACACTGAACATTACAGCAGTTATGAGGTTTTGGAAGGTCTAAGGCCTCCCTCAAATTTGAAACACTTGAATATTTACGGTTATAATGGAGAAAAGTTTCCATCATGGCTGGAGACTGGTGTTAATTTTTTTGGCAATTCCTCTGCACTGAACAATCTTTTGACTTTGAAGTTATATAACTGCAATGAATGTGTAGAGATTCTGAGTTTGGGATTTATACCTAAGCTCGAGTATCTTGAAATAGAAGGAATGTCAAAGGTGAAACGTATGGGCAGCAAGTTTTGTCTTGATGGCAGCAACATGACAAGTAGTAGTTGTGGTGACAAAAAATCAATCATATTGTTCCCAGCTTTGAAAAGACTCACTTTGTGTGGCATGGAAATCCTAGAGGAATGGGCAGAAATAGAAGGTACCACCATCTTTCCTTGCCTTGAGGTTTTGAATGTTAAAAATTGTCCGAAGTTAGAGACTTGGTCAATGAGTGGATTTTCATCTCATCATAAGCTCTCAAAAGCGGATATTTGGGGTTGTCCGAACCTGGTGACTCTTCCAAGTATGGAACGGCTCTTATCTCTTGAAAGTTTAAGCTTAACCAAGTTTGGATCTCTCCCAAATGGGCTGGGCTCGTGCAGCTCTCTAGAGTATTTGGGTCTTGAACAGTGCTTTATGTCCTCTCTGACTCTGAGCATGAAGGAGATGATCTCTCTTCGAACATTAGAAATTTCTGACTGTGAAGGATTGGTTTGTGTGTCAGGGCTGGAATCCTGCATCTCTCTCAAAGAGTTGACTATTGTCAGTTGTTACAATCTAATTTCTATTTCAGAAGATGTTGGAAGATCATGTTCGCTTACCTCTTTGAAGATTACTAGTTGCGAAAATCTAAGGAGCATTCCAGAGGGGTGGCTGGGTAGGAATACCAGGTTGGAGAAGTTAGAAATCGGTCATTTCTGGTCAGAGTTGGAGGAATATCCAGGACTCACTTCCATCCATCAACTCCACGCCTCCCTTAAATCTTTGAAACTTTATGGATGGGATAAACTAAAGTCTCTGCCACATCAGCTTCAACATCTCACTGCCCTCAAGCAATTGACGTTATCAGACTTCAATGGCCTGGAAGCATTGCCAGAGTGGTTGGGAGACCTCTCTTCTCTTCACAACCTGCTGATTGAGGAATGCTCTAATTTGACTCATCTGCCTTCAATTGAAGCCATGCGACACCTCTCCAACTTATATTCTCTTGCTATTTTGCGTTGTCCTAAATTAGGAGAAAGATTGGCCAAAGAGAGCGACCCCGAATGGGCCAAGATTTCCCACGTCCCCAACTTCATGATACACCTGCAGGGGTCATTGTACCTGCAGCGGTCATCCAAATAAGAGAGTGAGGTATGTTTAATTTCTCAAACCTAAACTGTTGGGTATAATGGATTCATAACATACGCTTGCAAGTTTGATAAAAAATAAAATAAAAAAATCAGTAGGCATAGGCTCATGTTGTCTCAAAATTATGAGGATGTGCATCTGCCTCAATTTTTTTTTTAAAAAAAGCTGGTTTGAATGCTGGTAGAACAAAATTGCATGCTTTGAACTTGATCTCTGTGATTGATCTTGATTGGCAGGTGAATTATATACTGTGAACTTAGTAACTGCATGCTGGTAGAAAAAATTGCATGGTTTGAACTTGTTCTTTGTGATTGGTAAGTGAATTATACGCTCTGTGCACTTTATCTTTGTGATAGATCTTGTTTGGTAAAGTAAAAGGTCTCGAGGTCAACATACAATTTGGGGATTTCACTTCCCATATAGTATGATTCAATTTTAGTGATATTTCGTTTCTTATGTTAAGTTTCAGATATATGCCTGTCTTCGATGAATCTGATTGTAAATTTGTTTTCTGATTTTCATCTTGTTGGATTGTCATAAGATATCTTCCTGTTGTACTGCAGAGCATAACATCTCTCTCATCCATGTGCTCGCCATATTATCAGCTGGTGGATGCCCTTTTTGAAACAGAGATTGATCAAAGAGACAAAACAAAGAATTTGCATAAACATATATTTGCAGGATAGGAGCTTCAAGATATGATTTTTCAGGTCTATATTTGCCATGACCCTGCTTTTGAATTTTAGTTTCATAAAGTCAAAATAGTAATTTATGCTGTGACTTTATTTTAATGGTGTAGGCTTCTACGTTTCCTCATATTCATTATTCTGTTTCTGTATTACACATTGAAATTGGAACTTAATCAATTGAGTTGCTTCTATGTGGATTTTCTAAATTTAATTAGTAATTGTTGATTGTAATGAACTGGTTCGTGTGTCAGGACTGGAATGCTGCATCTCTCTCCAAGAGTTGGTTATTGTCAGTTGACACAATCTAATTTCTATTTTAGAAGATGTTGGAGGATCAAGTTTGCTTACTTCTTTAGACATTATTACTTGCGAAAATCTGAGCATTCCAGAGGAGTGGCTGGGTAGGAATACTCAGTTGAAGAAGTTGATAATCGATCTTCCCCGGTCAGAGTTGGAGGAATATCCAGGACTCATTTCCATCCATCAACTCCGCGCCTCCCTTAAATCTTTGACACTTAATGGATGGGATAAACTAAAGTCTCTGCCACATCAGCTTCATTACTGCCCTCAATTTCATATTTGAAATTGGAGTATCTGCACCATGTAATCATAAAGAATAGGTAAGAGTTTTCAGCATTAATTTGCATTAGGTTACTATTTTAAAGCCTCCTTTAGCTTTTGTTTAGAAACTAAATTAATTTACATTTGGTACAACAACAGGTGATTTTGTGCTTTCCAGTTTTCATATTTGTCATGCATCAAAGCCATCAGTGAGTGTAAACTAAAGCAATTCATATAACTAGTAAGTAGCAATTCATCAATTCCAGCCGTTGCTTCATCCAGGAAGATTATATATTCCTTGACAGGTTCTGGTTTTACTGACAAATCAGCTTTGCAATTTTTTTGCAGGCCTTATTTTATGGAAGATTTGGTTTTGTTCTGCACTTGTTGCAAACAGAACTAATCAACAGAATAACATCAAAACCTTTGATTATCTTGGAAAAGGGTTCTGGAGATATTGGCACAATTCGATTCGGAAGGAAGTCTAAATCTCCATCGTCAACTTCTGGTTTCCAGAGTGGATCAACTTTGGCAAATAGTTTAAGGATTTGTCTACTTTCATTATATATATATATTTGTCTCTCTCTTCTTGATTATAATTCTTATGGTTCGTGTAATGTTAAACTTTATGAGCCAAAGTAAAACACCATGAATTACCTTAATTAAAAATTTAAGAGAGCAATATTTGATTCGAAGATTCTGCATCTTGCTAGATTTTCTCTGCTAGAAATCGTCTTGTTTCTTTTCTTCAATCGATAATAAAGAACATGGAAGACCATGTTAAAAGCTAATATGTTCAGTCGTCTTCAAGGCCTAGATGAAGATTCAAAATGATCATAATTAATTACGAGAAAAAGAATGCAATGTTATAACATAAGCAAAGATCTAGTTAGTACTGAAACAGATTCAAATTTAGTAGTGGTTGAATAGGAAGATTGAAGAAAATGAATACTGAAACTTATATTCAAGTTAACGATAACATGATTAATTGTTTTCCAATCCAATCAAAAGTAAGTCATTTTTATTAGGATTAGGAAGTCATTTTTATTAAGATTAAGAAATTTATAAAAAATTATCTTTTCATTAATCTTTTTAAAGAATTAAATTTTGATCAATAAAATGAGAAGCAAACCCTTGCTAATTAAATTATATAATCCTTTAGATTATTTTGGATGAGAATAGATTACCCACTCAACTTATTGTGTATCATGTAACGTCATTTGATAATACTTTATTATTAGTTACAATTTTAATGAATCAATGTACAAAAAAAATTTATTAAAAGTATTTGAATAATTTTATAAAATATTTTAATATTTAAATTTTAAAGTACTAAAACATCTTAACTTTCATTTTTTTCTTCTGGATATTAATAACACAAAAATATTTTATAAGTATGAACTACATAAAAAGGTGTAGTCTATGCATTAAAATTACAAAAATTACCTTTAATAAAACTCCTATTTATATTTATTTATTTATGATATTTTAATAATTTTAGTATTCAAATTACACTTCTTTAATGCAGTTCATATTGAAAAAATACCAATTTCTTCATAATATCTCTTGATATGGAAAAACAAAGAAAAACTTATTAGTTGGGAGGCAAAAATGGTACTGAATCAAAATTGTTCAAAGTTCAAACAAGCAAGAAGACAAGAAACCATGCACTGGCCGTCAATGGAAAAATGGCAATACGATGTCGTTTGGAGTTAATAATTCTCTTATGTTCCCATCACTCTTCGGCTTCTACCGGCCCAGTCCCCGGTGCTTCTCTTCTTTTCTTTCCTATTGTTTGGATTTGGAGTCACATCAGCTTTTTGCTACTGCAGCCGCGCCGTTCCGTCGTCTCTTGTATTGACGTAACAAAACAGCCGGACATTTCCTCTCTTCCACCTTACCTCCCTTGCCGATGCTAAGAGTAACAGATCGAGTGGGATCGAAATCTTTTGAAAATTTGGTACTTTTTGTTAGCTTGAATTGTGCTATTGATTGTCATTCTTTTCTGTTTGAAGTGTGGAAACTTGGGAATCTCATTGTTATTGGGACTGATATAATTGTTGAATTTCGTAGGACAATATGCGGAGGCACGGAAGAGCTTGTGTGTTGGTTCTAGGAGACATTGGTCGCAGTCCTCGGATGCAGTATCACGCCTTGTCGCTCGCCCATCAGGTATTCTTTTCTCTTTTCAACCTCCCGTTCTTAATTACTTGTATTGACGTAAATCGAAGCATTGTTTTTCATATTTTGAGCTCAATCTTTCTTCCAATGATGTTGCAGGCGTCTTTAGAGGTGGATATTGTTGCTTATGGAGGTATACCTTTCTATAAGAAGAGCGAGTTAGATTAAATTTTTTATCACTAGATGCTCCCATGTTTTTAGCTTGTCCTTGTTAACATTTTCAGTAAATGTCAGCACAATGGATTTCCATAAGAAAATGTTCCATCCTATCATGAATTATGGAGAGTGCAGAGCTTGAGATTTCAGTTTGGAAATCTCAGGTTTGAACCTTAATTCAGCTGTAGAAAGATTTGGGAAAAGGGGAGGGTTATCCCCTGTTATATAGCCAATCATCAGATGTAACAAAAAGGAATTATGGAGAGTATGAGTTGCTGTTCTATGGTGTCTGGTAAATATGGAAATTATACTCTAATCAATTGAAGTGCAACTTGAGGGAGGGGAAAGCTTCTGAATGTTAAAGGATATGGATAGAGTATAGGGGAGAGATACAAGATTGGTAGTAGGATACAGCATTTATTGTAGAAACTAAGGTAGAGTGAGGTGAGTAACGTGTATGTACTTGCTTGGTTTAATAATGCTAATCCTTTTCTTAAGTTAATACAATATTCCACTGTTGATATTTGTTTTAAATTAATTTCTTAAAAATTCCTTCCTGTTAATGAGAAAAGCTTGTATTCTCTTTCTATTTTTTTGTTATAAATGCACTCTTAAATTAATTTATGCTAGAAGGGTTGTATCTTTATATTCAATGTGTCCAATATGATCTGAAAGCCTTTTGCACTAGATATACACCTGACAAATATTGAAAATTGTTACCATTCAGATTTTGGATATGCATCAAAATTATATATGTATACAAAAGTCCTGGATGATAATTATATCTTGGTACAATTACCCAAGAATGTACAAAAGGTGATTACTTTACTAATTGGATTGTAAATTTGACTGTTTGGATAGGTTTTGGATATTCATATTCACACAGTGGTATTGATGTGGAGAAATCTAGCTACTCTTAAGATATTTGAGGCTATCAACTTTTATATTTGGATTTTGTTCTTTTCTTTTGCAGAAGCAATGGCCGACAGTCCTTCAAAACTTGCCAAAGATACTTTATCCCTTGACACTTCTGCTGAAGCCAATCTTTCAGTTTGTTATGCTCCTTTGGTTTCTTTGCATTAAAGTTCCTCGCCCTGATGTTTTTATGGTGCAGGTGAGTTCTTAGAGTTTCATTAGAGAGGTACCATTTGTCTTAATTGCCAATTTTTTCTATTGTGCATATGCGTGCAACTGTGTGAGTGCAACTTTGCCTGAAACAAGTTTAGTTATCATTTTTAATTTGTGCATAATATAGTGTCAGCCAGCTCTCAACTATGATAAACCGTTTTCTGAAATTGAATGCAATTCATTTATGAAACTTTTTGATTTGTCTATATCATATGCCTATTAGATTTATAGAAGAGTTAGAAATGCAAATTCTTTCAGTTATGTGTTCTAGGAAAGAGCATTTGGTGTTATGGATGTGGCCCTTTGAAGCGATTGTGTGTTACCAAGCTGCATGGGCAGAGCTAGGAACAACTGGTTTTGGATGATAACTGATTTTCAATGATACACAGGCCTGATACAGGGTTTCTGAAAAACGAATGGAATAGCTAGGTTATCATGCTTTTGTCATGAATGGCTGGGTATGGGTGTTAATGTTAGCTTAGTGCAAGTCCAAGATCGATAAATCAAGCCACTACATATATATATATATATATATATATATATACATTAAATTCTATCTACCAGTTTTGAGATGTCATTTGTTATGCCCCTTATTTCCATATCGTTCTCTAAAATGCAGTAGAACATAATCTCAACCTAGCTGTATTTTTTCATTTTAGTTATATATTAAGGACTATTTTCTCTCATTGTTGTCTTCACTTTTCATTCTCTTTTTCCTCGTTTTTGCCTTCTGAAAATTGTATTAAACCTTCATGTATATTTTCTTCTGTGGAATCCTCCTGTTCCAACCTTAGTGGCTGTAAAATGGGCAAGCTGGAATCATTGTTGATTGGCATAATTTTGGATACACCCTTCTTGGCTTCTCCCTAGGATGAAGTAGTTGCTTTGTTTCTGTATATTGTTGGTAGAAGAAAGTTGCCTTTTAATCTCACTCACATGAAGATGATCAATTTTGTTGTATGATTGATGTCTTTTTCTGATAACATCAGGTTTGAGAAGCATTACGCGAAAAAGGCAAATGGTTTGTTGTGTGTAACAAGGGCAATGAAACAAGTATTTGCTGATTAGGTCGTTCATATGTTTGGTTGTGGACTACCTGTATGTGCTGTTTCCTATTCATGGTAAATTCTGCGTCTATTCATACAGAGGATATACTTGAGCGCTGCCCCTCCCATTTAATACTATTTTTTTTTTTTTATTGATGCTGCTGCTGCTTTGACTTCTCTGAAGCATTCAAGAATTTGATAAAGTTGAGAAAAATGACTACTCTTTTCATCACTATCAGAGCTTGCCAATGAGTTATTGGTAAGTCATGGCCCTTTAACTATGACAAAAGACATTGTATAATTCATATATTTTTGTAACTTTTTGAATTTTATTTTTAGTTTTGTATATATAAAGAAATAGTTAAGCTGTCTGCAAATTCCTGTATGCTAAGGATATTGAATATATTAGCGTACTGAATAATGAAAAATTTTAGATGATGGTGATTCATGCGTCTTAATACTGATTAGATATGTGTTGTTTGGATGTTGTAGTGGCTTCTACCTATTTTTTATTTAAAATTAGTTCCATGAATATTGCTATTCTGTTCTCCTGATATGTGGAAGAACTTAAGGATGTTGTTCCTTTAGGCAATGGCTGTGAGAATGCTTTTGGCACTGATGGACATAGACAATAAGAATCTTTAAAAAGACAAGGAAGTTGTAAAAGTTTGAGGAAAAAAAATCAAAAGATCTGATTGATGTTCAATTAGCAGGCCATACTAGGACACTTTGTTGTAATATTCATTCTTTTTGTATGCTTTACTTGCCTTTTCATACTAAACCTTTGGGGGACATTGCTCGTAGCAGTGAGTAGATTAGGTTTTCATTTCAGTTAAGCTATTTACTGGACCATTTTGTGTGGCAAAGTTTGGGTTCATTACTAATTTACTATAAGGATTTTTATTTTTTGGTCATTATTTACTCAAAGGTTTTGCTTGGACATAGAAGCCCTTTCAACTATAATGTTCAGCATCAAGTTTATTGTTGTCTAATGATGTATAATATCATGACAGGTTTAGCACATTGAAGGTTAAAACTAAAATCATAACAAATAATTTATATTCAGTTTCATATTGTAGTTGGGTTGAGATTTGCTTCTTGAGAACTTTGTAATACCCTTGCAATTTTTTCTTAGTTTCCTACATTATTTTGCAGATGCTCCTCAAGGGATTTCCTGATAAATGTAATGCTCTGAAGTCTCTAAGAAATGGTGCATTGGTAATGAGCCCCTCAGCTGGGTGGGATACTGAGAGGGAAGAACATGCTAAGCCATTGATATCTGAGGTAAGTTAATCCTTTTTCTAAAAATAAGTTAATCAATTTAGATTTTTATTTGTGTTATTTTTGCCTCATGGTCATTTATATTAAGCATACATTTATTTTCTCAGTTCTAGTTAATAATCTGATAGTGATTTCTTCATATTTTATAATGAGTTCCAAACTGCAAAACAGGGGCTATTGGATGGGGGATAGCCCCCAATATCAGGGGGCCCACCCGCATCCAATGGTTATGTTATGCAGTCCGGACTGCACAACACTTTTTTGTTTTATAATATAATTCTAGGACTGAGGCTGGGTGTAATTTGGTGAACTTCTGGTTTAATGAATGTAGGGGTATAAATACTAGCAGAAAACACCCTAGAACTTATTGGGTCACATATTCTTACTGAGTGGTGAGGCTGGTTGTAATTGGGAACTCCTATCGGAGTGAGAAGAGTGATTAGACAAACCTATTGTAATTGTTCTTGATTATAGTGGTTTTGAGACATTAGCACAATTCAGGGGAACCACACTGGTAATTAAGAACTATAAGTGTTAATTGTTGAGTTATTCCTCTCTTAGGTTGGCTTATGGATCGCAATGCAAAATAAAATCTATTGCTTAAGAATGAAGAAAATAAAATCCTGATCATTAAAAGTGCCTAAACTGGTTGCCTACAATTTCATATGCGACTTGTAAATTTGGAGCTACTGAAATCAAAATTCAAGAGTGCCAACACTGTGTTTGGTGTCTCAAGACTTCTTCTGGGAGGTTTTAGCCTGTGTTTTTCTAATGAACTAGTGGTTTTTTACTTTGAGGTTTTTCAATTAAAAATTAATTCATGCTTTATTTTTCTGAACTTGAAGGGAAATTAGGGTAATAGTTTATTTTCCCAGACATAAAATTAGAATTGTAGCTAAGAGGCTTGAAATGAAATATAAGATAGTAATCCATGTCTGAGTGGAAATTAAATCAGATCAGATAGTTGTTTTGAACCTTTCATTGGGGAGTAAGAATTCACTGGGAAGGAGAAGTTTCTTTGATATTTCCTCTCTCTTTTCTCATTTCTTTGTGTCCTCTTTTACAGCTATCTGAAGAAAATGAATGGGATGTTTCCACGATATCTCTTCTTTTTGTGAAGTGTAATTTTCTTAGCAATATCCTTACCTGTTGCTTTGGCTTTCCTTCTACTACTTTTTCCAAATGGTGTTTGAAAAACCTTCCTGGAAAATATCCCTTTTCAGGACTTTGGAAAGGTGTTTTCGGTATTTACATATCTTAAAATTATAATAAATAAAGGATAAAAGTGATATTTTTATTTTTTATTTTTTTTGACAGAATTAATAACTCAAACTTTTCTTCTCACATTTTTTCAAGAGAAAAAGTTTTTCACAACTTTTCTTAGACATAGTTAACAACTTTTCTTACTAACTTTTATTATATCAATTTTTTACCAAATATAACAAAGTTAATATTCCAATAAAATTAAAAAAAAAAAAAAACTTCATTACAAAATTTAATGACTTTACATATAATACTTTCTAACTTTTTATGTAGTATTTTTGCCATCACTTTCTAAAAAATATTGCCCAATAATCAAACAGATAATGACTTCTTTTTTTTTTTCGGGCATAAGGTAAATTAATGGCTAATAGGATGTGTTTCCATGATATTTCCTTCGGTTGGAATTTCTTGGCAAGAGATATTTCCTTGTACTCTTTATTTTAGGGATAAATATATCTAAAATATCAGTTTGACCATTTAAATTTCATCTTTAATCATCGCAATATGGTAATAGTAAAGGCATCAGTCTTTTAAAATTTTTTAATTAATAATATGACTTTTTTTACTAATTAAAATTACTATATTTTAAAATTTTTTTAAAGTGATAATTTTAATTAGTAAAATCACAAATTATATTCATGATTAAAAACTTTTGAAATATGGTAGTCTTGATTAATAAAAAAAGGTCATATTTAATTAAATTTTTTTTTAAAAGTTATGTTTTTATTTGTACCTAAACTCCTTCATAACATAAATACTTTTTTATGTTTAAATTTTAGTAGGTCTAGTTTTTTTAATAAAATAATAATGTAATAATTAATAAATAAATTTTATATTTGTTTTAAATTAATTATTACTTAAATAAATTTTTTAAATATATATTATAATTATTTTTTAAAAATAAAAGTAAAATGTAAATAATCGTATTAAATAACATTTTTAAAATAAAAATTAAATAATTAAAATATGTTTAGTTTGAGAGGAGAGGAAAATATTCCTCTACTGGGTTACCAAAAAATTAAAGAGGAGAAAACAAAAAAGGAAATAAAAGATTTGCCCCATATTTTATAGCATAATATCATAATTCCTATATTTGGTATTCTTCAATTTCTCTCCATTTCCCTCTCTTTCTCTCTATTTCACTCACCTCAGCGACCATAATGGAGGTGGGACAGTCTGCCTTTAGTCAATTATTCACACTAGAGGAAGCACTACTAGATGGTCCAAATGAGAAAACAAAAAAGTGATAAAGCTGGAGGTTGTCACCGAAAGGCATCGAAAGGTGCATAACATAATTGAAATGCGGACAGTTTGTACATTTTTTCTTTGCCTTCGGGAACACGTTGGTCAACTAAAATTGCTGAAAAGAAAAAGCAAAACTAAGTCCTTGCCATTTGCCAAGAAATTCGAAATATTACGGAAACATCAATTAAAAATCCCATTCGTTTTGCTTGGAATTAGAAAGGAGTAAAGGGGAACGGGGAATTGGTTTAATTGATTAGCTGAAGCATGTTCTCAGGAAGTTTAGGGTGTTTAGTTTAGGTTCAGTGTTTGGATATAATTAATAATAAATAATTAATATTTAATTATTAATAATAATTATTTATAATTTAAAATATTTAATTTATTTAATTAAAATTAAAAGCTGATAATTATTTATCAAATAATAAAACAAACACCTCTGACTACTGAAGCCATTGGCTAAGAAGGGTGCCCACTTCTCAAAAACTAATCTTTACTCGGATTATGTTAACGCATGTCTATTGGAAAAAAAAAAGAAAAAGAAAAAGAAATTACATTCAAACGGCAGTTTTTTATATTTAGGTTGTAAAATGAGAAACATATAATAAAATGCTTATTTCTATACTAGCTATCATTTTTTTAATTTTTTTTTTCTCTAAATTAAATATTTAAGGATAATTTATGCATTTATTTATATTTAAAAAAAAATAGATTAAAAAATATTTTGTGATAAGATGAATAATTAAAATAAATAGATAACAATATAATTAAAGTAAAAAAATATTTTTTATCTTAAAAAATGAAAAAATTATGCTTAATTTAGAACAACTTTAAAGTAAAAAAGTATTTCCTTTGATTTGATCTAGTGATCCCAGTTTGATTTTTACATAAAATTTGATCAAATGATTTTATATACTCCCTCTATCTCAAAATTATAGACATTTTTTAGTTTATAATTGGTCCCAAAATAATAGTTCGTTTTTTCAAATTTTGAGAGAGAGAGATATATATATATATATTTTGTATCAAACTTTATAATTATTTATTAATTTTAATTATTCATCCTATTATAAAAAATGTCTCTTTATTTTTTTTTTTTTTCAAGGATTAAATAAGTAAAAATAAAAATTATTTCTAAATCATTAATCCCAAGATAAAAGCAAAAGAGGTCTATTTTTCTAAGACCGAATAAATGGTAAATAGATGACAATTAAAAATTTTTTCTTTCTATACATAATTTTTGTTGAATATTTTTATTTAGATAAAAAATTATTAATCATCATTCATTTATTATATAAACTTATTAAATTAATTTATATAAAGTTAAGCAATGACAACTAAAAAAACAAGAGAGAGTAATAATTATTTTGAAAGGCAGTGAGTGTAAAATATTAGTGATTAATATTAGAGCCATCGATAAATATATTTTCTGGTCATAAATTTTTTTTATTATTGAGTTATATAATTATTGAGTTATATAATCAGAGGCAATCTTCTCTCA